GCAATGGCCAGAGCTCCTTCGAGAAACTCCGGCACACATGCTCCCAGCGTCATGCGACTTCTGCTGTCGTAACAATATAGATACATGGTCATACACAAACACGTGACTAGGTTTTGCAGCATATGATTACGATTGTGCTCCATTTTTTAAGTTTCGATGCGATATTCATTACTCTCTTCAAAACAATGCAGATTTTACTTCTTCATGTCACTAACATAACCCAATCGAAATAAAAAGTCCAGAGACACAACTTTTTGAGTGGATTAAGATGATAAAGTTAACATATCTCTAAGGGTTCAAAAGGAGGACAAGTTCAACTTAAGACTAATCCTAAGTCTCACTTTGGACAATGTCTACGAACTTGTGAACATTGAAGATAAATGGCTCTTAAAGAGATATATGTGTGAACCCTGGGGACAAAAGAGATTGATGGTATCGAAAAGTGGCAGGTATGGCAGTTCTGTAACCTTCTATAGAGGAAGCTGATACTCCACAGTCATGAAACATATACATGAAAAAAGAAGGAATTTGTTGAGATTTAGATGGACAAAATATACAATGTGAAATGTACCACAAAACTGATAGACAGCAAGGGATGAACATTGTTAGGAGTGGGCTAATATTCAAGCTACTAGGTAAGAGAATCTGGCTTCACTGATAAAGGACTGAACAACAGCCAGCTATGAAGCCATAGACATCAACTGCCATTGAAAAAATGAATGTTTGTGATTAATGATTGAAGATTTTCTCATGGAGGTAATATGATCACTTCCCCATGACAAATATGAGTTGGCCAAAGTAAGTTGATGAGGAGAACTTGACACTTCATTGAACTGATCCTGGCTAGTATCAATGGAAGAAGGTAAAGAGAAAACAGGCATGAAGGGACTCTTCTAGTTTTGACTTGATGCATCCACTGCCAGTAAATCCAAGACTGGAAATACCACAGTGGAAAAAGATTGTTGCCTGTCATTGCAAAGGCATTGATCAATAGACAACCTAGCAATTCACATAACCATTTAAAAACCAAATGTAGAACATCTACTCTGTGAGAAGAAGGAAGTAAACTTGAAAAAGGGAATATGCTTAGATGTTCATTGCAACAAGAATGGGACATGCTCAAAGAAAAATGTTAAGAAATTGAGAATGAAGCAAGAGAATATGGGTAAAAACAGCAAAATATATGTGAAAATAAGTGCCTATCTGATTGTTAATGCATGTCAGCACTAGGAAATTGTCTGTGTGAGCCAACACAGTATGATGAAGCAGAAGGATTAGAAACTAGAAAGATGTAATGAACCACCCAATTTAAATAATTGATGTAAGAAGCTGCTCCCTGTGGAATCCAGCTATACTAGATATATACTGATCCCCTAGCACAGTGCCCAGCTCATGAAAGAACCATCTGTAAAAAGGTGAAGATTATTAAGAGGAGGAAGAAAAAGGGAGGCTACAGGTATAGATTGTCAATTCAACCAAACCAATAGAAACTTGAGTGATTGTGGAAAGAAATATTTTGTGAGATAGTTAATAGATCTGTAGTCAAATTTTACTGAAAAACTAGATCCCATTGGAAGTAGTACATGTGAGTGTAACCTAAGTGAATAACTTCATGAAATGAAACCATTGTCTCCAATGAAAAGATGTCTTTGTAGAAGACAGAAGTTTGAACAAATAAAACTCCAAGGCTAGACTGACGTCTAAATTCATATTTTAAAAACATATTTTATAGTACAACTGTGAACAAGAAAATCTAGCTTGTGGCAGGACAGCAGGGCTTATGTAATTCCTCTGGCACTTGTGTAATGAATTGCATGTAAGCAGTAGTGTGCAGAGGGGTGAAAGGTGCCGGGGCTCTGGGCATCCATATCGGGAGGACATCCAATGCAAGGAGTTGAATCGAATAGTAGAACCCTTTCTGCCCTTCCCCAAGGTCTTAGGTACAAGGCCCCGGGCATCATAGAACCTCTGCATGCCACTGTCTGTAAGGTAGGTGTGTTGAGAACTTTAAGAAAAGTGATGCATATCATGCATTGCATCAAGTACATTTAAAACCAAAAGTCATGTGGTTGTTGACACAATAAGAATGACTGAAGAAGAAAAGACTTACAGAATTTCAGAGGTAAGTCTTTCTGATTTGAACTAACTGTATTATAGATACTTGATATTTCTATATTGGACACCAACGTACCTAAGTAATACAAGTGTAGCATTTTCATTTCTCTTAGACAGATGTTTTACCAAAATGCAAGATTTTTAATAGAATATATCATTTTAAAGCATTTGTAACAGATGAAACCTGTAGAACAAACCAATAAACATAATATTTTTCCTTTTTTGTTGAGAAATTCAATCTAATTATTTTGTAGAAATTTTAGTCTCATAACATAAGGCTTCTCTGAGTTAGTCAATCCATCCATAGAAAACCTCTTAGTCTTATAATTTTTCAGATATTTTATTTAACACCATGGGTGCAGGAGTTAGAAAGGTATTGTTTATTGAAGGCATCATGGAATATGTTTTGAAACAGATCTTTGCAGTTTTAAGCATTTTTGGAGGTTAGTGTCTGTTACTTGGATAATTTGTAAAGTACTAGGAAATGAGGTGTGTGTGTGTGTGTCTTGAATAACTTTATAATTGTTTAATCACTTCAGAAGGCCTTAAAAGGTTGTAACACTGATAACATATAATTTCAAACAACAGTCAAACCCTTCATTTCTAAATCATAACATCTTATTACAAATACTACTAGCATTAAAAGACTTCTTGTTGTCAGCTTTCCTAGCTAGACTATTGTCAACCTGATAGAATTGTCTATTTTTAAATCTAGATTTGGGTCTTTCTCAGAGACAAGAGAGAGATTCTTAACCCTTAAATATCACCATTACCCTGAGGTATTTTTTTTCAGGTGTACTTGATACCTTGTATACAGGTTATAGATGCTTAGTAAAATAAAAATCATTGATTTAGTGTGCATTTAAAGAAAATAGCAGGTTAAATCAGTATTTCTGTATTACATCAGTCTTTAAATATACTAAATTTATGATTATATACAATTACAAATAGTTTATAACCATGAGAGATATGGTAAGATAAATAATTTCACAATTCTGCAAGCCTGTACAATTTTCATGTTTAACTTGCAGGTCATGAGAGGAGGTGATGGAAATGCTGGGTTATCTGTTAGAAACCCTAATGGAGTGTTTGTTTTACCATATCAGTGGCGCTTTCATGCAGAATATGAAGATGCTTCTGTACCAGATGAAGGTATTTGATTCTGCTGTTTTACTCACCTGTCATAATTTCCCTAAAAGTAGGCAAAGGCCACCTGGAAGAGTCACCTGTTTTAACCACTTACACCACTATACAGTAGTGTTTTGATGGTCTGTCAGTCAGTAGACACTAAAATGACATCACATAAGGAATACTTAACATTGCAATTCAAACTGTCATGACATCAGTAAAACGTATGCATGCCATGAATCAAAAGAATTATTATGCAATCTGTAGGATAAAACAAAGCAGGACATATGAATTTAAAAAACAAGAAATAAAACTATTTGTTTTTTTTATTTTGACTTTATCTACTGTTAAAGCAGAACATATTCAGGGACCCTGTGGAAGTACATCTAGTTTATATATGAACTTAAGAAGACTTAAATGCCTCAGTTATTAACTAAATATACACTAAAAGAATAGTGTACATATAAATTGAATAAATAAGAGAGTTATAAGTAAGTTTTAAATTATTTGCAAAGTGTAATATTACTAAGCTTGTGTAGTTAAATTGATGTAACTGTTGTATTTTATTAGCTCTCGTAGTTGAAATTAGTATTAAAAGTTAGCTGCAACATTAACTTCTTCTGGCAAAAAAAAGTTATTCTTACATATAACAGTGATTCATGATCCTAATGATTATTTCTTTGGCTTATAGTTGAATCATAGGTGCAACTAATAAAGGCATTTGAATATAAAACATTAAATATAAATAAGTACTACAAATATAAAATCATGTATCTCTTTTCTAAATCAAATATCAAACTATTTGATTCTAAAATAACTAATATTAGTATATTGTGGCTAGTTATTTTCTGCCTCTTTCTTGTTGAAACTGTTAGAAGAGCTCATGATGAAGTTTGTGGTGATACATAATACTTGATTGCTACAGTCTTCTCATGCTTGTACATGGTGATGTTAAAGAAAACCACGTATTTAAGATGATTATATTTTAAGAACTATTTGTTCTAGGTCAATCTGAGAATTATGAATTTCATCCAAGAAAGTATGGACATGGTACAGTGTTTCAAACACTGTAAATGTTAAGTATACTTTCCATCATCCTCAATCAGCATAGCAAGCATATCTTTTAATGAAACTACTGCAGACATCATCTATGCTGGCAACATCTGATATACTGGTATGCATTCCATTCAAATAACCACTCTAATATTGTTGAAAGTGTTAAAATGAAGTAAAATCAGTACTATTTTCCATATAGAGGTATACATTATAATAAATTGTTTTAAAACACTTTGTATTATTAAATCAATAATAACACAGACAATGTTTGACTTTATACAATTAAAAACATTTTTACCGAGACAGACCAACAGTTACAAGAAATTAAAATTATAGACATAGTGAATTTAACTAAAAAGTGTATTTAAATAACCCATTATTTCAAGTGAATAATCAGAATTATAAACAAATAGAAGGGTTGGCTATGGGTTCATCTCTGTCGTTATTATTGTGTGATCTGTATAGGTATAAATTTGAAACCAAACTTGTATAATTCTTTGATAACATTATTTTAAAGTAATATTACTCCTTAAAGGGTTCCTGAACTTTTGAACTTCTCTGTCACAAAATTTGATTTAATTCTTATATTCACAATTACATATTTTTTTAACAATAACTTGTTAATTAAATTCTCTTTATAAATGAATAATGTCAACACTATGAATGTACATAAAAAAGTAGATATTTTTTATGATCTGGTGTGCCAGAACTTTTGATGTTTGGTGGCATGATAACTGAAAATGCTTTCAGTATATAGATAATGTTAATTTTTGAACTACCTGTTTATTTAACTCACTTTGTATGAGTGGGTTAAAGAGTAAATGTCATATCCTTTTTTTAACAGAGTTACATTCAAAATTTATTTAAACTACTTTATCATTAATGTATGATAATAAGCTTTGCATCAAAATGTAATTTGTAGTTAATTCTTTTTTATGTTGTCTAAGTTTTTCAATTTCAAAAGGAATTATCTGAATAAATTCTCAGTCTTGAACTCTGTCACATGGTGCATTTGGTATTCTAATTCCCCGTTTTTGGGTGTTTTTTTCTACCCTTTTGTGCATTTCAGATGTTCAACAAATTAAATACACTTATTACAGATATTAATAACCCAGAATATAAAATGTTAACATCCAATGTTTTTACTTTACTGAGATTTGATTATTTTTGTCACACCCACATGACACACATTCCTATTTTTCTCTGTCTTTAAAGACATGTCTATAATTATTGCTTCCACCACTATTTATATGTTTATAATCAGTAGAAAGAGTAATTTCCGAACAATTTGAATCTACTGATTGTCTATTTTGTTTCAATGCTTAAAGCAAGGAAATTTTGAAAGATGTTGACTAAAATCACTGCTTTAAACAACAAAAAAACTTTTTAACCTATTCATAGCTTAGCTGGAAAAACTAGTAAAATTATAGTAGTTTTTGGATAGCCTGTTGTTGTCCCTGATATAAGTTTGTGATATAAAATATATATTTGAAAACAACAAGAGTTATTTTGCAAACAACCAAAGTAGTGTGAAAAAAAAAGTTTTATCAAAATACATTCTCAATTACAAGTAGGCTTATTTGTATAGGTGTTAAATTTCTTATTTTTGTATGTATATATTTTTTAACCAAAGCTCCAAAAATATAAAAATTAGAAACATATTATTCAAATGAAAAAATTAAGTAAAAAGAATTCACAAAACCAGCTTGAGCTAACTGTGTCACATGATTGCAAGCTAGATGTTGTTTACTCTTAGTTCTCCTGCTGTGGTTAACTGACTGCTACATTGCTGAATAGGGTCTGAAAGACATTGTAATATAATAAAGATAAAAGTAGGGGTAAGCAGATGTGAAATATTCAAAAGACTGAGAGTTTGTTATAAATAAATAATTGTAATTGTCTGTTACAATCTGCAGTCATTATAGAGAAAAAGTATTTATCATTTTATTTCTTATTTTACAATATTTGGTTTCACTGTTTTTGCTACAGCTGGTGTTATAGTAGAGAAAATAATAGTGCAGTATAAGTTTCCATAAAAAATAAATTTTTGATATTCATTTAGGAGGTATTAGAGGTAATGCAAATTAAATATATAAACTGTAAGGTGAAAAGCAGTATCTTTATTCATAGCATAAAAATCGTTTTTCACTCAGATTAACTCAGTAAAGACTTCATATATTCACAACAGACTTGCAATGTTTACTAAAAGCTTGCCACACTACATTCAGAATTATACTATGTATAGTTACATAATTCATGGTGGTTATAAGGTTGTAAAAATGACTGAGTCCATATACAGAGAGTTAAAAATAGTGTTATCATATATTAGAGGATTAATATATAGAATATTTCATTGTTTTAACAAACAACAAAGACATCATTTCTTCTAGTAACATATTACCAAGCTAAGCTTTTGTTACTTTGTTCCAATCTATAGGTGAATTATGTGTGTTTATACTGTTACGACAGCGGGGGTCACGTGACGCTGGTAACACGTCATAGTCTCGAATGTTCGTGTCCCTTCCTGAAGTCTCGAGAGGCTACTAGATATGCGGTAGTTTTGTATATATATAAGCCGCCAAGAAGTGATGGCAAGAATATGTGTAATTGACAGTTGAGTCGAGCACGTGAGACGTTCGTTGTGAATTATAGCATTTGTTATAGCGCGACTGTGGAAATTAAGTGTATTGCAAAGTTGTATTCAGAAAGAATAAACCAGTTTTACTTAAGAAAGGACTTGTGTCGCTAAAGTTTCATCGGAAAGAAATTATACGGAAAATTAACTAACGAACAGAGACGTAACAATACATTGTTATTGAATAAAAATATTTATTTGTTTTACATCTTTACTAACTGAATACTTCATTGGTTTGAAAAATCATATCTCATAATACACGTTTGAAATTAATTGTTCTTTAGATCCAATTTAAGTATCCAAACTAATTTATTTCAGGTTACTACCAACTTTGCATTGACAATTCCTTGTCAAGATTTGTTTCAAAGCTGGTAAGTTTGTACGTGAACTCCTTTATAAGAGATGAATGGGACAAATATGTGAAAGAATTGAAGAGTTTGGACATTACTGTCACCAATTTCACGGTAAATTCATTTGGTAATTTCTTTGGTTTTAGATATATTTTAGTGTGATTTAAGCTCAAAATGAAACCATTCTATATCTTATTTTATAAACTTGTGTTGTTTTTATATTTTACTTCAAGATTTTCAAAAATTAAATCATACAAAAGTTCTTTGTTGCTGCTAATCATATTTTTCATTTTCATAATGGCAAGGAGTGCTTTGGGTGCATAGATTACATTGGCTAATAAATGTTTTGTGAGAAATTGAATATATATATATATATTGAAGACTACCAGCATATATTATATGATATTTTGTAACATTTGATTGAACTCCATATATAACTACCTACTGCTTTCTTCCTTCCAGCCACTTTTCTATTCAATGAGCCTACTTATCCCCCCAGACCTATATAGATAATTGTTTTAGCAAACAAGCTTTCTAAGTGGCACCTTGTTAAATGATTTGTGAAAATCCAGTTACACAACATCCATACTCTTATCTTCATCTTTATAAGCAGTAATCTCTTCAAAGAATATCAAAAGATTAGTAAGGCAGGATTTTCTCCTAGTAAAATCATGTTGACTATCCAAAAAATTTTAAACTTTGGTAAATGACTTTTCAATGCATATCTTATCAGATTTTCAAAACTTTTGCTGACATTGATATAAGATTAATAGGCCTATAATTACCACTTATCAGGACAATTATTATCACCTATTGGAAAGAGAAGTAACATTAGCCAACTTCCAATCCTCTGGCACCTGTCCATTATTCAAGGACTTAAAAACAATAGTAGCAAGTGGCTTACATATTTAGTCCTTAACCTCCTTCAAAACCCTTTGAGGAAATAACTGGCTCAGGAGTTTTATTAGTTATTAAACTCCACAATTTTTTCTTAACAAGCTTAGTATTAACATTACTGTCATGATCAGTCTTGTTTCCATCTAGCAGCTGTTCAGGATGAGGAATATTGCTTAAATTTTCATCAGTAAAAATTGAAAAAACAGAATGTAATAAATCATCCATCTCATAATCAGCATGTATGAGCCTACCTTTAGCATCCCTCAAGGTCCTGCTGCTCCCTTTTTGGTTTCCTAATTTTCTGTTTGGCCAACTCTCTTGAACTAGTATAATCCTATAAACCTCCCCTTATAGCAGTCAATTTATACTTCTTAAATTTATGATGCTTTTCTATAATTTTATTGTTTATTTCATTTATGAACCAAGCTGGTTTGTTTTTACTTGCTACTTTCCTTTTGTTTTCTGTAAGGAATATGTCAATTTTGGATATTTAGAATTTTGATATGAATTTTTTCCACAGTTAAATACTGTCTCCAATTTATTCAATTGACTAATTCACAAAAAATAATTTTTGTTGTTTCCCTTTGAACATTTTTTTTTCAAATTTGTATTGAAAACCTCTTTATTCCTTATCTCCATATGCAGCAATACATCAAGCCTAATATTTTTATATTAGAAGTTAACAATAAATCTAAAACAGCATTGTTTTTAGCAGTTTCTCTGACCAATTAGCTAAGAAAATCATCTTGAACAGTTTCTAGCAACCTCTTCCACATAGTTTAACTCTCAAATTTTTCTGAAATTAAATCTCCCATAATTATATTCTTACTAACAGCTGAAATCTTAATCTATCAATTGTGTTATTCCAGCACTGCTTGATTATGGTGAAATTAACTTTTTTCTTCATACCTCACATCTCTAAGGTAAAATTGTATTCATTGAAAATATCTTTTTTTTTCTATAACAGCAGAAGTGATATGGCTCCTGAATTTTCTGATGAACAAAAGTGCATGATGTAATTTCCTCAAATTATCAGGTTGAAATTTGCTCTTTTTGAGAGAAAAAAAACAAAGTGATAACACAAAATGTGTATATTACAGAAGTTAAAAATCTGATACTGAGAAATTACAGTTAAGTTGATCAAATTATCACAATTATCTGTCTTTTCCACTGTATCAATTTATCCACTTTTTCAAGCTTCATAACATTTTTGAAGCTTGGTTTTACTAAATCTGATCCTGTATTTGTGGTATTATTAGTGGCTGTACAGATTACAGAATGACAGGTTTCTATATGAAATAGATGTGCACTCGTTTTACCTTTGTGTAAATACTTAATGACTTACTTTGTACCCAGTACACAATTCTCATTGAGTAGCATATAGCAATAAAGAAATTCAGAAAATATCCAAGTCAAACAGTTCAGTACGTTTTACAAGTATCCTTGATACCAAATAATTACATTTGTTTTGAAGGAACTAACATATCTTTTGTACCTATACATTATTAGCTGTTTTGCAACTAGTCTAACTTCTAATATCAAGGTTTTCTAGAAAGACACCCTTTATTCGCCCATCATACTCAAAAATAAATGAGCTATTATGGCAAATCATGAAGTTTCTGAAACCAAATATAGGTAGAAGTAAAGAAGGTTAGACCAAATATTTCAGAAGCAATAGACACTGGTATTGGCATCTACAAACTTATTGCAGACAATAAAGCTAATAAAAGATACATGCTTCTCATAATAATGAGCAAAACTAATGTTCAATTCATTCATCTACTTATGCAAAAAAAAGTAAATGTTAAAGTAGCAATTAGTAGGATCTGCTTGTATTTAAAGAAAGTCACAAAAACTAATAGGTGCAATATGTGAACTCATCACATATAGTGCCTAATGTGTTTGACAAAGGCAATTCCAATTCTGGCTGATGATGATGACATGCAAAAATATTGGAGTAAAGAAGCAGAGTTCAAAGACCTATTTGGTTAATTTAAGTATAAAATTTTGTATAATTTTTAAGGCAATTTTCATTCTTTTTCATGTCAATTCAGCACCACAATGTGGTTTTCCAGTCAACAACTCAATGCTATCAGAATGATTGAAAACAATCTTAATACACTTTGTCTTGCACTTAATATTGCACTTCAGTAAGTGTATCCATAACTATTGTAATGGTGAAAAACACTCAAAAGGCACATGTGCTTTATTATGTATACTACCTAGAGAAGCACAAAAAGGCTAAGCAATAAATGGAATTTAAACATAAACATGCAGCTGAAGAAAACAAAATGGGATGTGTGGTGAACAATGCTAACTTGACTACCCAAGGAAATACTCTGGTTAATAGATCTGACATTGGATGGGCAATCATCACAGATGCATCAGCAAAACAGGAGAAATTCTGAAGCAAAAGGGCATAGCAGCCAAAGCTATACAGTCAGCAAGAATAGAAAAGATCTGTTTAGTCAATAAAGAATCTGCAATGGCACAGAGAAGTTCTCTGGAAGGTTCAGGAAAAACTGGATGCAGACCCTTACAGAAATGGCAAAATTACCCAAGAAAGTAATTAGGTATCAGCTAAAGATAACAACATTTCTAAAGCTGTATTGGTTATGTTTATGCAACATAAAACCTGTGGATGTTAGTGTTAATAAACAAAATGAAGTGATGTGAAGACCATAATTAAAAAAAAAGAAGAGGCCAGATTTCTAAGTTTGTGCATTTGCAGAGTTTTCATCGATTGTTTGAAAGAAAAAAAATCAAAACAATGAAGTAAGAAACAAAGCAAATTATTAACTTAAATGACATATAAAAGTACCGTAATTAAATCTTATTTATGGTTGTTGTAAAAATGTTATACAAAACGTTGTACTTATGCAGAAGCTAAGTTGCGTCAGCTTTATCAAGGTCTTTATGTCAAAATTTAATTTTCATTTTTCTTTATGAAAGAAAAATAAAACTCTTAATGCCACAAAGCTAGTAAAAATAACTTGGGTACACTATATTCCTGAAATTAACATTCTTGGTGTTTTGCAATTTGTTCTATAACATAGATTGTATTTTCCTTTCACAGATTACCTTTTGGTGTGAATAAATTGATAGATAGGACCCAGGATGTTTAAATGTTCATATAAGTTATCCTGCCTAAATTTGAACATTTAAGATAGAGCAGGACTTAGGTAGTATGTGCAGTAATACTGTATTGTGGTATTCACAGGAGATAATTGTAACTCCTTTGATATGTTATCACAGATGTAATGTTAGTCTATATCCATAACAATTGTTTTTAAATCATTATTACAGATAACCAGAATATCTTTCTCCATCATGAAGTTGGAGATGAACAATTCTCTACTGTACTTAGAGCATAGTAATTAATCATTAGCTAAATGAAGGTGTTTTTTTTACACAAGATATACCTTTTGTTTTTGCAGGGAACTCTGATGACTGTAGATAAACACATTGGTGAAATGTTGAAATACCAAGACTATTCTCAAAAACGGATGTCCCAAGACTGGTACCTGGTTGATGGAAATAACCGTTATGTCCAGTACTGGTCACTTGCTCAGTGTATAGTTATTGCTGTAGCATCAGCCATACAAGTGTTCTTTGTTCGTAAGCTATTTGATATAAAGAATGTTACACCTACAGCCAAACCACGGGCCTAGTCACAATGTTTATACAGATAAATTATAAAAAATTTATTTACTAAACCTAACATGCTATTCTATTTTTGAAATATAATTTACAAATATACAAATTGATCTAATCAATGATTTTTATATATAATTCATTATAAGGACTTGGAATTAAGAAGAGAGAATTACTCATTATTTTGTAGCCCTTGTATTTTAAGTGGGGCTATTTATTGCATTTTCTGAGATAATTTTGTGGATTATTACCCCAAATATTTAATGAAAGTGATCTCATGAATAGTGAGAAAATTCTTACATTTTTTTGTGGGGCGTTCTTTTAGTGAGGTCTCAGCCATTTTTCCAAAGAGTTTTTGTAAATTAAAGTGAGGTCTGCTTTTTTAGTGATTGGTTGGAATTTTGTGATGGGTAGATCATTACATTTTTTTATCATATAATGATGTGTTGAGAAATGTAATGTGCCTTTACAACAAGATTAGAAAGTTTCAGTGTTTTTCTAGGTGTGTTAAATGTGTTTTGTCACTATTAACCATATTTATGGTGAGGCTTTTTTTTGTATCCCGAAATACAGCATTCCATCTGTATAATTTTCTTTTCTTTTTTTTTTTTTCGAAGAAAGTGGTAATTAATTAAGAGATAACAGTCTGTTTAAATTTGTGTAAGCTAATCTACATGTTTGCATCATAACATTCTGGAACAAAGTATTCAGTTCATGCAGTAAATATCTGTCTTTATACTATCTTAATTCAGACTTACTTGTGCTTATAAAGTTTTCTCAAAATAAGTGTGCCTGTAGAATAGCAATAAAGTAATTAAGCTTAAACGTAATTACATCAAAACCTGATTGATAAACTATTCCTAGGGGTAAATCCATCAATAAGTTCTGTTATAAATTTATGTATAATGATATTTCAAAATAAAAGTCCTCAACCAATTTCTTTTAGTATTAAAATACCATTCAAACTTTGGATCTGAAATATTTAAACAATTTTTTTCTCTTCAGTTAGGATCATGGACATTTGTTACATGAAAAGATTTTAAGATTACTCTTGCACTATTTAGGCATCTTTTTATGTTTTGAATAATTTAAAATTTCTTTTAACCAAGTAAATTACATGCAGAATTACTAATAATTACCTTTTCAGCAACCAGATAATATTTGTTCTTGTAATTAGCCAACAAACACATATATAATTTAACTATTATTGAAATAACACTATTCATGTTTTAGGAAAAGAAATTATTTTATGTTAAGAGTTTGTTTCCTTGGTCCACAGATCGTATATGTACACAAAATATTATAATGACTTTCACAATTTAAGAATCATTTGTACTGTAGTTTATATTATATAATTATTTTTGTTTCAATCATAAAACCAACTTACACTATGAAACAAGTATGTTAACCCATTAACTGTTGCAGGAGCAGCTCAGTTGCCGTTTTCTGACTCACAGATAAAACTGAGTTGCCACCAATCACAATAAAATGGTAATTATCGTCATTCGGATAGAGTTATAGTTATATATGTGCAAATGACGGATATTTCCGTCATTCACAGATGAGCCATAGAACTTCAATAACAGAAATATCCGTCATCCGCAGTTAATGGGTTAACATAATGAAATCACAAGTTTTTATAATCTCTCATTTTGCAAAGTGGACTGAAATCCATTCCCAAGTATTTTTTTTTTTTAGTTCTTAAAACACATCTTAGACAAGTTAATATCAACAGAGTATTATTTTTCAGATTAATATAGCTTTCTTAACATATGTATAATACTTTATGGGGAATCTTTTATTTCTTACACTACTGTATTGCAATACCCCAGTCATAGTGATGATTAATGCAGCACTGTAATGAAATGGTTTGAATAGACATGTCTATACTAATGCAGTGTTATTAATAGGCTTTTGCATGTAAGGAAACATGTACTTCTCCTATTTCATGGGTCATTACTATTGGTATTTGTTTTTGTTTCAGTTAAATGTGTGGAAACTTCTAGTTCTGTTTAGTATTAACATTCATATATAATATTGTATAGCTAAATTATAATTTTCAGTTAGTTAACAACCATTGTGTGAGTTTGGCGTAAATTTGTTATGCTCTGCTTCAGCCCCATAAATGACTGCATAGCTTATTTGGTATTTTTGTTGAGATCACCAGAATTTAATGAAATTACACACATACTCTTCACAGATGAATCAAGGTTTGACATATCTTCCAACGATTAATGGGTTTGTGTGTTGAGGACAAGAGATGAATGGTGTATCAATGCAATATCATTAAATATGAATGTTTCACTTTTGAGTCAGTTATAGTGTGTAGAGGCATCAATAAATGAGCTGGCACATCCTAACATGCTTCAAGGAGACAGATTAATTCTTGACAATATAGAAATGTTGCATTGAACCAGGTTGTATAATATTTTTGAGAGTACAATCACATCAGATTTGTTCTTATGTAGGATTGTCATGTACCACCTTAAATAAGAAATTATACAGGTGTTACGTCTCCGTTCGTTAGTTGATTTTCCGTAACTTCGTTCCAACGAAACCTTAGCGACATAAGTCCTTTCTTAATAAAACTGGTTTCTTCTTTCCGAATACAACTTTACGATACACTTAATTTCAACAGTCGCGCTATAACAAACGCTATAACAACAAACGTTAACTTCAACAATACTCTCTGACTGCAGTTCAATTACTTACTACTTACACATTGTCCCATCACGCCATGACCATCTTATATATACCAGACCACCTCCAATCTAGCAAATGCTAGGGCACTCCCGAAGGAACAGGATATTTCTAGAAAACAGGTGGCGTGATACTAG